TCATGGATCTGAACGCTGTCAACTCAATATCATGGACCTGAACGCTGTCAACTCAATATCATGGACCGGAACGCTGTCAACTCAATATCATGGATCTGAACGCTGTCAACTCAATATCATGGACCTCAACGCTGTCAACTCAATATCATGGATCTGAACGCTGTCAACTCAATATCGTGGATCTGAACGCTGTCAACTCAATATCATGGACCTGAACGCTGTCAACTCAATATCATGGATCTGAACGCTGTCAACTCAATATCATGGATCTGAACGCTGTCAACTCAATATCATGGATCTGAACGCTGTCAACTCAATATCATGGATCTGAACGCTGTCAACTCAATATTGCCACCGAAAATAGGACCTCGACTCAGCGGGACATTTTGCTGACGTCACCAACAAGGTATTTTGACAACAACAACAATGCCGACGTTAATGTGTTGGAACGTAAATCAAGAGAGAAATCTGTCTACGTGGCCACAGACGCAATGACTTTGACTAAATGATTTTCGGTGATCCAAAAATGTGTAATTGATTTTCGCACTGAATATCCGCGTCCACAATATGTATCAGTCATACCACCACTTTTGATGAAATGAACTAAATTTACGAAATGGTCACAATTATAACAAGTAATGTCTCAATTGACTGTACTCATAATGCTCAGTGGTTCAGAGTGCTGGGGGACCACACTAGCGTATTTCAGAACGAAAGCTGTGAATTTTGAAGTAACAATGCCTTAAATGAATCATTAAATACATATTCAACACATTTGAATATAATTGAAAGTTATTAAATAATCTTCTTCTGACATCATTCGTTGATTAGTAAAGGAAGTAATTCACAACTTTGGATTTTCTTTAATTTGTTTCTCTAATGTTCTTCCTGCTGGTATTTACTGAATTGACGACGCAAAGAATGTGTGGAGGTGAAAAGTTTATTCAGGCATAAATTAAAGATCAAATACATGATTTTATGAGTAATACAAAGCAAATTGTATCCATTTTAATTAAAGTATTTGTAACAAATTAGTGTAACATATAACTTACCTATTGAAGAAGAAGTGATAGAAAGAACGAAAAAAGAGTTGTCACAAGTCCCAACAAAAACTAACTCTAAGAATGCTACCACTGCCTTGTATGAATGTACACTCTAAGAATGCTACCATTGCCTTTGTATGACTGTACACTCTAAGAATGCTACCACTGCCTTTGTATGAATGTACACCTTAAGAAGACTACCACTGCCTTGTAAGAATGTACTCCATGGTGTCGGAGAAGTTTACACACGATTTGTCGGTCCAGGCTATCAAATGCCTTTTCGTAGTCGATAAAATTTGTATATAGCGCGGAGTTCCATCCGATGAACTGTTCTATAATGATTCGTATTATTGCAGTTTGATAAGTGCACGATCTGTTTCGGCGGAAGCCAGCCTGTTAACCTCGTAATTGCATGTCGACCTGGTCTTTCATTCTATTCAAAATAATAATTTCCTAAAGACCTTTCCTGGTACAGACAGCAGTGTAATTCCTCTATAGTTTGCAAAGTTGCTGAGATCCCATTCATTGATATTTTGATGAGGTATCCTTCTTTTCAATCTTATGGTACGCTCTCTTCTTCCTAAATCTTTTCAAAAAGGGGGTGCAGCATGTTGACTATTGTATCTATATCTGATCTCATCATCTCTGTTGTGATGTTATCCGGTCCCGATGCTTTCCTCAATTTGAGCTGCTTGATGGCCAGAGCTATTGCTTCCTTATTTGGGGCCATTTTTTTTCTATTTGTAAGGCTTTATGTGCTGGTTGTGTATACAGCGTGTCTGTTGATGGAGGTCTGTTTAGTAATTCCCTAAAATATTCCACCCATTTTTTATGTTGTTCTTTTTGCTCCGTTATTGATCTGCCTTCCTCATCGTTAGCAGGTCTCTCTGACCTCTTGTATCTTCCTGAGAGCTTTCTTGTTGTGTCATAGAGCTCTTTCAAGTTTCCCTTCCTAGCTGCTTCTAAGTATGCATTTTAATCTTTTTTGGTGCTGTTTTTTACCCTTCGAGTTGCTGCTTTATATTTCTCTTGTGCTTTCCTTTTCTCCACCCTGGTAAGGTTGCTGTTAACTACACTTTTCATGTATTTCCTCTCTTTTATTTGTACAGTGTTTTAAGTGAGAGCCAGTCTTTGTGTTTCTGCTTCACTGATCCTAGAACATTGTTGCAAGTGGATGTTACAGGCGTCTTTATATTTTGCAATTTATGTTCTATCTGGTCATCATCTGTTTGGTCTTACCATGCCTGGAACTTATTTCTTAAGATAGCACTGAATTCCTCTCGCTTCCGCCCATTTGCCAGAAGTGCTATGTTGAATTTTATTCTTTTAGCAGCTGGATCTTCCGCTTTTTTTTCAGTTTTAACTTGAGTCTTGCCCAAACAAGATGATGATCAGATGCGACATCTGTTCCTGTTTTTTGCTCGTACATCTTATAGAAACCTTCTCATTTTTTGCTGATGCATATATAATCGATTTGGTTTTGTCTTTTGATGTCAGGGGACACCCTAGTTCCCTTGTGGACGTTTTTATGTTGGAATTCACTGCCCCCAATAACGAGCTCATTTGCTGCGCAAGAAGTCTTTCACCGTTCTCATTTCTCTCTCCTATACCACGGTACCCCATAATTTCTTCTTATCCTATATTTTCTTTTCCAATCTTAGCATTTAGATTTCCCATTATGATATTAAGATCCCATTATGATATTAAGATCTCTACCTTGAAATTATTCCATTATTGCTTGTAGTCTTTTGTAGAAAACTTCTTTTTCGTCTTCCTTACTATCGTTGGTGGGTGCATAGCACTGTATTACATTCATATTAATTTTCTTCTTCTTGTTTCGGAAAGTTTCTGTATAATCTGGGTCCATGGGCTTCCCATCCTATCTATGCCTCTTGTGCCATCCGTGTCATCATGAAAGCTACTTCTTGTGCGCGTGGAGCATTTTCCTCCCCATGTCCTGAGTATATTAGTGATTATCCTGAGACTAAAGTTAACTATCCAGCTTGTGTCCATCTTGTTTCACGGAGGCCAAGCAGTGTGAGTTTGTAAGTTCTCATTTCTGCCGCCACCTGTGCTGATTTCCCTGTTTCATACATGGTTCTAACATTCCCCGCGCCTATGTTTGCTTCTTTGGAAAGGAGGCTCCTCGGCTTTGAGGCTTCCAGTATAGCCTCGGTTCGGTCGCAAGGCTTCATAACTCTTCTTGGGGAAGATGGGTCCTCTCTTCTCTGGGCTGAATTATTTTGGGTGGTGTATTATTCTTGGCGTTTCTGTAGCTATTGTTTTTATGGGTGAGGTAGCTGGCCTCACGCCAACCCTCCTCCTTTTGCACGCGGGCTTGGGGCAGGCCATGACGGAGTTAAAGAAACTCTTTTCACCTATAAGAATCCAATGTGTGGCAAACAAGTGTATCAAGTTATATCTAAACAATATGTTGGCCTTCCTAAAAAGGTTACATTCATTTAGCCTATATGTCATTTGTCATCAAAAGCCATTATAAAACCCGGGGCTAAAACAGATTTTGAATGTTTACAGAATAAATAATTTTATTATAAAGCATTTTTCAATTAGCGCCTTCTCTTGCACGATTTAAAAAAGAAAAAATCCACACCCTCCCATTCAAGTAAAAACTATATAAGCATCAGCTTGAGCAGAGCCTCTTAACAGTGAGCACGATGAAATGCCAGGGTATGCGGGAAGATAATTTTTTTTTTAAATATAATTTTTTAAAATTAAAAAAAAAAAACTACAATTAAAGTTTTTTTTTTTTTTTTTTAATTAAAACAAATCATATTTTTTTTTTTTCGTTTAACTTTCGATTGTTTCTGCATTTATAAAAGAGATTTATATAAGAACCCAGCGCACGTTTTTAGTTTTTTAAAGCAAGTTAATATCAGAGAGAAAACTACCATAAGATAATTATATTCATATTTATTTATTTTATAACAATACTTTTTTTATTTTTTAAAAAGGTGTGTGTGGGGGAGAGGGGAGGATAGAGCATGTCAGAGCCCTCCACATTCAGAGCCGACGCGTGACTTTTGGGGGCCCTCTGCCCCTTTTCAGTTCTGTGCCTTCCACATTTAAAATTGATAGTTTAAAATTGTTTCCACATCACAACTTTGGACCCTCAAGATATTCGAGACCTCTCTGCTGCTGCAAATGGTTTCAGTGAGCCAAACGACGGCTCTGTCTCGTGTAATAGTGCCATTTGATGATGATAACAATAACAATTGTCTACATCTTTAACATTTTACTTAAAGGGCTATAGAAGTGAGGGGCGCAGCTTTTTTCTTTTAAAAATATTTTTTAACTGTCAAACTTTTTTAGTATTTTGAAATTTTGACTCTGAAAAACTGTTGGTAAACATCAAAAACAAAAATGACAACTGTTTAAAAAATATTTATTTTTAATCTGTTATAAAATAATAAGTGCATCTGAAATTGATTTTTTTAATTTCGCCTAGAAAATAAATTTAAAGCCTTTGCCTTTGTAGGCCTACCTTTTGTTTGCAGTTTACATATTATTATTAAACAATTCCTCTTACTAGAACAAAATTTGGCGATCGGTGGAAAGTCTTGACTTTTGTGACAATGAATGTTTAACAATTGTTAACATAGTGTTTAAAAAATCATCAACGATTATAAATAAAAGCAACGACTTGTGTTGAGATCTACAAGTTGAATTTATAGTATAGATCAGTTTTGCTGTGTTTAGTTTTGTATTTTAATCAGGTAGCTCTAGTGCAGTTCGTGACGACATAACTTAAATGGCTAAGTTAATTTCGAACGAAATCTAACAGTAAGATTAGACCTTGTCTTTTTTTTTAAAAAACATTTTCATGCATTTTAATATATTTCATTATTAGACAATATTGTATTTTTTCTTCTAAATATTATGTTTTGTTAATTAGACTATTACAGGAAACTTTTCCAAACACTTCATTAACTTCTTCCGCTTTATTTATTTTTATTTATAGAAGCGGCCCTTCGATATTTTTTTTCAAAACGTTTATAATTTATAGCCTTGTTTATCTTAGGATCAAATGACAGTGACTAACACTAACAGTGTGTAATTTCTTTTAGCTGATCTGACAGGTGGAAAGCGTGTAACTTCTAAGAGGTTTTTTAGTAGAAGGAATTTTTTTAAAGAGTAAAGAGATTTTATTTATTATTATTGGTAAGTCTAAGTGGAAGTGCGCGTAGTAGAAACTACAAATTACAAATACAGTAGTGACTATACAGAAGACACAGACTTCACTGATAACACTGTCACTGACTTGAACTTAAAACTATTAATTATTAGGCCTACTTAGTATTAGTAATAATAATAATTATTAATAACTAAATCAACTAAATATATAAATTGAATAAATTATATTAATAATAGCCACTGCTAGTATAGATTATAAAGATTACATTAAAAATTAAAACATAATAATAAATAAATACATATTCAATATTCATAATTTCATAATACAATAATTATTTATTAATTAGTAAGTAGTTAAAGGTAGGCGAAGGTGAGACTCACTTATTCTTACACTGATATTGTTTGAAAGCACTTTGCAAGTTCAAGATTTATTATTTTCTTAGGGCAGGGCATAGGGAGGTCGACTTTGACTTGTTTGAGTTTGCGCCTCAGCAATTAACAAAGTCAAAGTTTACTACTAACTACTATTACTAAGTGATTGTATAGGTACAATGACAATAATGACCATACATTCTATGATTCTAAGTCTAAGTGAAGTTTCTGAAAAAATTCATTATTCATTAGGCCTAATTACAAATACAGATACATATATTATGATATATATAAATATAATATAATTGTATATCAGCCTATAATATATTTTATTTTCAAATTCAAAAACATGGCAGATAATTATAATATACATAAGGTAGCTGCATTAAGATAATTGAAATATTTTAAACTATGTGACTATGTGAAAAATTTCTCAAGAATGAATCATGCAGATTGTAAGAGTAAGAATGATAGGAGCTAATAATTACTAATACTAATTTGGTGTGTTTTTTCAATCCTTTTATTTTACTTGAGATAAGCTTACTTTGTTCGAGTTTTGTTCTTACATTCTCACATTGCCCAAGTTTTGAGTTGCATCCATAATCTATCCATTCATTTATTTACAAAAATATTTTTCTCTACTGCAGGGGATACAAATATTCGTAACTTGATTTAGGAGTAGATCATCTAGTCAGCATTGTCTTGCTTCAAAACTTTTGTGATTAGATTAAATAATAATATATGGGTGGGTTTTTTCCCTTAGGCCCATCATTTATTTAGTTTTCTTGCACATTTGCACAGACTTTGCTTTTGGCAACAACCAAAAGGAACACTGTTTAGGACCTGCTTCTGTAGAAACTTTCTGTGGGGTCTAGTTTCATTATTTCTCTATCTTTTATTATTCCCAACTTTGTTTGTTTTAGAATTTGTTCACATAAAATAAAAAGTATTTGTAGAATAAATAAAGCATCAAATTATTGTAATGTTGTAACTAAAATTTTAATTTACTTGGTTCCTTTCGAATATAAAAAAAATAACTTACCAGTACACTCCACATTTGTGACATTGTTTTAGTTAATAAGGTTAATCAATTGACTAAGGACATTCAATATCAAAAAGATGAGCTCAGCATGAGACCCAGAAAATCAGATCTATTTACATTTTTGTCTTAGGGGGTGGTGGAACTATGATTTTGACATATAGATTGGGTGCAGGAAATGTTTTGAACTGTATAGGGTGTGCAGCACTTCAAAAGGGTCATTGAAACCCTGTTCTGGTACACAATATATGTCCAGAAATTGTAGAAGCTATTATTTATTTTTTGTTTTTTCTCCTGACAACTTTTTGTCTGCACCAACCACATACCCTAGTTCCACCACTGCAAACAATAATATTGTTAATGATGGGAACTACCGTTGTCTTCACCATTGATCTTATGGGCAATGTACCAATCTTGAATTTGCACCCTGCTCTTGGATTAAACTATGATCTGTTATGAAACCGACTCGAGTGAGCTCTTTCTTACTTGCATTTCCATTAATGTCACCTTCTGTGTGAATGTTACTCCCGGTATGGTTCAGTGTCCGCATACCCTATTGATGCAACTGCTTCCCCCTACTTATTTATACACATAATTTTAAACAGCTTAATAATGTCATAACGTTCAAACTAACGTCTAACTAAAAATTCAATTGATGTTTTATCATATTCTTAAATTACCTATCGGCTATTCAAATCAAAATTTTTATGGTCGTCCCGCTTCACAATTCGTTTTTAAAAATTTTTTTAAAGAATAAGGGAGGAGGGGGAAAAAGCACAAAGAATACTCAGTCTTTGCTCACCATTTTGGTTGGATGATTTTTATAAATAAAAAGCACCCTAACCTGTAGGTATGAATTAAAAATAAGTAGGAATAGAACATATATTATTTTAATGTTTTAATAATTTCAGATTTATTTGTAACTTTTAACAGCTTACACGGTTATTGTGGAAATTGAAACATGGGAAAGTACATCATTGATATTGAAGTGATAGACGCAGAGAAGCGAAGATTGCCAAGTAAACATTATGTGAGTTGACATGCTTTAGAGCAGAATTTATCCTGAATATTTATGAACAATTGCCTTTTATTTTTATTTTTTTACTTATACCTAGTATTGAATTTGAAGATTTTATTTTTAATTTGCTATTTTGCTTATCTCCTCATATGTTCATTCAATTATGATTATTTTAAAATTGTACCTCTATATATGGCTTTTTTTAAATGAACTATTTAACAGTACCATTGCAAGAAAATATTATTTCAGGCAACTTATAAACCTAAATGGACAGTTGTTTCAATTACTAATAGTCTAGCTCAGTGGTTTTAAAATTTGGTATTATGAGGGGAACCTGGAACAAAACTATGAAAGTTGCAGCACCCCTCATAGCTTTTATTTTTTTCTGTACTTATGAATGCCAGCACGTTTAATAAACAACATCCTCATTAGCTCACCTGTGAGAAGTGGTGTAAGGCCACTCCAGGATGTTAATAAATGAATCCGTCGTCTCTTGGAGACATGGTGACATATCTTGGTATTAATCCTTTAAACTTCTTTCACTGAGATGGCACTGTTTTTTATTTAAATATATTTTTAACTTTTTCTGTACTGTTCCTTCAGTGGACAGTGTGACCCCCATGAAATGGACATGAAGAACTGGGATAATATTTATCTCTGTGCTTCTGTTCAAACTGTGGCTATGAATGGAATTTAGTAGAGCAATCACATCAGTGCTCATGCTCCAACAATGTCTAATAACGAGAAAACCAAAAAAACAAATTTTATGAAGAACTAGACAATGTGATCTCTAGACAATGTAATCTCTGGATGATGTCATCTCTGGATGATGTCATCTCTGGATGATGTCATCTCTAGATGATGTCATCTCTAGACGATGTCATCTCAAAAGTTCCAAAATTAGAGAAGCTAATTATCCATGGGGACTTTAATGCTAGAGATGAAACAGGCCACCAGACATGGGAAGGAACTATCGGAAGATATGGCCACGGAAAGTATAACAGCAACAGTCTACTGCTCCTAAACCTGTGTACGAAAAATGAACTCAACCACTACCAAGACAATCTTCCACTTTCCCCACTTGAAACAGACTTCCTGGATCCATTTGTGTTCAAAACACTGGCACAGGATTATGTCATCACCTGAAAAAGTAACATGCAAGATGTTAGAGTAACCAATGATGTGTGTGGTGCTGACTGCTGGACTGACCATCCACTCATCACATCAAAATTAAAACTTCCTATCTTACCCAGGAGAAGGCAGGGCGGCCAGAAATGTAGACAAACCTTATTATCCACTAGCTCAAGTGTACAAACATGGCTGAAGAGTTTTCCACTGAACTCAAACGCAGGTTGTGAGACAATCCCTTAGAGGCAAATAAAACTATTGACCCCAACATTAAATAGTATACTTAAATTGTGTATTGTTTATATCACTAGCTTTGGTATTGTTTTCTTTGCATACATTTTTCTCAGGCCTTTGTTTCGTATTGTTCATTGTAAAATGAGCCAAATTTTATATCACATTAAATTTAAAAACTACTCTAGAACACCTCTTACCAACAACCAGCAGATATAAAGATTGGTTTGATGACAATGAGATTCAGTCAGTGCTAAACACAAAACATCATGTGCAGAGATATTACCAGAACGATTCTATGTCACTTCGAATTAAAAATGTTCTCGGCAAATAAAATAGAAAGTGCAAAAAACTGTGTGAAATGCATTACTCATGGCTCAGCGGGAAGGGTGATAAAATGCAAGGCTCTGCCGGTAGACAAGATACTAAATGTTTCTAAGATGCCATAAAAGAAGTCTTATAGTCCTCAGGCCGCATGCCCATCCTTAACAAAGATGGAACTCAGCTGCTGACAGACAGGAGATAGATTTTAGAAAGATGGGCTGAACACTTTTGTCAAGCCCTTATCTGTCTGGCTGTGACAAATAATAATGCCATTGCTCATTAACCACAGGGGGAAATCAATGAAGAGCTAGACAACTGTCCCAATGAAGGGCAATCCAGCAGTTCACCTCAAATATGCTCCAGGACGAGATGCAATCCCTGCAAAAATCTACAAAGCAGGAGGCCCTGTCTTGACTAAGATTTGATATGACATTGAAGATGTTACTGTTCCTTAGCAATTAAAAGATGCAAACATACTATGAGTATGAATATACAAGAGAAAATGCAGTCCCCAAAACAGTGACAACTATTAAGGCATTTCTCTCCTGTCCACAGCTGGTGAGATCTTTGGCCAGAGTCTTAATTAATCTTCTGCAACTACACCTTGAACAAGCACTACTTCCTGAAAGTCAATGTAGATCTGCCAGACAACCAAAGCATCTGGCTTTAACAGTATCCACTCATTCTTACGAAAAAGACAAGTTAGATTGGCAGAATATATTGAAAGAATGCCAGAAAGCAGGTTACCTAAATAACTTATGTGTGGTGAACTTTTCAGAGGGAAACGCTCTGCTGGTGGGCAGAAAATACGCTTTAAAGATTGTCTTAAAATATCCCTCTAATCTATGGACATCAGTCTGAATTATGGGTAATACTTTCTAAGGATCTTACATGTTAGCGAGGAAGGCTCTCTGTTGGAGCACAATCTTGAGAAATTAAATTGCATCGCTTTCAAGACACAAACAGGACTAACAAGCCGTCTGCGTACTGACCGCTGACTATAGCCTTGGTCATTCTTGCATGAGAAGGATGAACAAAAACCAGATAGAGCAATTTGTAATTAACACTCTACTAAAATGATAAAGGGATTCTTTTTTTTTTTTTTAGCATTCAAAGTTATGCTTTATTTTTGGAACCCTTGGAAGATTGTTGAGGCAGTGTCGCAGAACCCCAATTGAAAACCACTGGTCTAGCTTATTACAGTAGACAATACTTAGATATTCTTGCATTTATTATGATTTATTAAATAAACCATTCAGTTAATTCATTGTAATGTATACCTCACTAGGTATATGTTATAAATGTAACATGGTCAGATGGTTCTGTACTCACAGTTTACAGACGCTACAGTAGATTCTTTGATTTACAGGTAAGGAATTAAGCCCCAGTTATCTGTTGATTTTCTTAAGGGAAAAATTAAAAGGTTTAGATATTAAATTCGTAAAATTATTACATTGTTCTTTGCTTGATAAATGGATTAGTTCATACCATTTCTGCTTTCATATCATTTGTGGTTGTCAAGTTCTGGCTAAGTAAACATGGATTGGAAGATGATGCAGTGAATTGAGGGGAAAGAAATTATTCAGCATAAAAGTATACATTAAAAAAATATATATGTTATTGGGTCTGTTTTAATTAGTCCTCCTCAACTTACTGGAATCAAGTTTAGAAACAACAAACATAATTTTGGAACCAATCCTATTTGGAAAAAGTAGGTGGCAACCACAGGCAAGCTACTCTGTTTTACACAAATTAGTACATCCCCCACACCCCTTAAATGACAAATGATTTTTTTACCACCAGACCACATTGCTTGACCGATTCCCTATCGAAGGTGGAACAGTTGATCCAGAAAAAAGAGTGATTCCCTTTTTACCAGGTTCAAACATTTAAATAAAATAATCAAAAGCTGAGGAATGTTTTTTTCTAAAACTACTCATTAGTCCACAATCTAAATTTGTCACTTAACGTGAAACTATCGCAGAACATTAAATGCAGCACATTGGGTCATCATAAGGAAAGATATCAAAAGTCTCCTTTCATTGGTGATTCTTAAATTACAATCACTTTAAGCACCCAGTTTCTTCTATGTTATTCTGTGGGAAGAAAAGTTTGGCAGAAATCAACAACAAAAAAGTTCTTAATGCATGTCAAGGAAATTCAAGTATTTATTGTATTTTTGAATTGTTAGGAACATGTCCACCACTGTGCTTTATACAAAATATTTATGTTACTCTTTACTTAGGTAAAATATTTTTTGGGCGCAGTCAAATTAAAGATGTAGCAATGAAAAGACTTAAGGAAATCAATGATTATTGCAAGGTAAGAATCTCATTTATTGCCAGTAATATAATGAATACTGAAAGCAGTTAAACTTTGAAGTCTTGCACCTTGTCTCCACTTCATTTTCATTTGTAAAAACAATTAATAAAATAATACAGATAAAACCCATGCTTTTAAAAATTATTTGACAATACAATCAGACCACATTTATAATATTTATAAACTTATTTATATACTAAAATTAAGTAATTTAATTGTAGCGATATTACCTAAAAAATCTGCACAATTGAATATACTAACATCATCTAACAGAAATTAATACAGTTGGAACCTAGCATCTCACACTGTGAAGAAGTTTTAGAATTTTTTGAGGTAGAACCTGAAGATTTGGAGCCACCAAAGAGCACTGTGAGCGAAGGGTGAGTTTCTTCTTTCATTGCAGCTGATCTATTTTCAGTACAATGCTTGTTTGAGCGAACTAGTTTGTTCAAGTTTCAACTTATCAAAGTTGTGATAATTGTGTGTTAGCCATCACCTTCTCTTCTATAGCATTGGAAATTGGAAAAGTTCCACTTGTATTTCATTGCTTTCACCTACTGTTGTTTGACCAATCAAACAAAAGAACACCAACTTTAAAAAAAAAAGTCTAATCCAGCTGACACTACACATTTTTTAAGCATTTGCTATAATTGTTACTAACTATAAATTCAGTTGCAGCTCAAATTATATGAGTGACTTGATGAGTCTTAGCCAAATATTTATAAGGTTTCTTGAATCTGGCAGCTCTATTTGAAGTTTAGGAATTTTTTGTTATCTGATCCATCTGTCACTACTTTTAAATGTAAGACTTACTATTTAGGACTTTGCAAACACTTCTAGCTTAAAAAATTCCATTCAACTATGTCTGAAGCACTGCATTTTTCTATGTCTTGTAAACAAAATCAAATCATTTCGTAATTGGCTGTTACCAGTTTGGTTTAATCATCTTTTAACTATCCACATTGCATAAATGTATTCATTCTGAATCAGATATCCATTGTATGTGGATGGAGCTGTCATTGGAGGTGATGGACCTATTGCCAGGTTATTTTTTAGCACATTCTGGTCTGGCATACTGCAAATTTCTTATATCACATTTAAAATCAAAAGAAGTATTTCAATTAAATTTTTATTTACTTTTTTTTCTGGATCCAAATAATCGCTTTCCTCTCACAGCTGACATCGATATGTCAATGTCCCTGTCATCAGAAATGCTGGTTTTAAATTTAAAATTTATTTTATTGCTACAGTATGACATATTTTTGAAAGATCTAACATAGATTCTACAAGAGCAAATATCTCCTTGCCATATTGCTTAACGCTTGCTGATTTGGACAAGTATGAACAAATGAAATGCATATGAAAAACTTTTTGACTACATGTTTAAAAATGACTTTTCTTAAGCTGCTGTGTCTTCAATATGTTAGAGGCACAGACAGTAACTGATAAAGTTAACATTTTGAGCTGGTTAACTACCATACTGGAGAGGGTATCTTAACAGAATACTCTAAAAAGACCTTAAGGAAAGTTAAAAAGGGAAAATCATCTTATCAGAAAGATGCAAACCTTGAAATTTGCTTACTACTTAACAATTTGAAACTAACTGGTAATGGAAGTATATATAGAATCTGAATTTCTGCAAAATAAAACTTAATTCAGAATCTATAATAAGCAATATTATAAGCAATAGTAAAAAAAAAAATATAATCGTTGAATTGTTTTAGATCAATTAATTTTTTATAACAAAATCATATATACCTTATTGTATGGGTCTTACAGAGGTAATAACTAAATCCATTTTTTTCCAAAAAAAGATAACGTCAGGAACAGTCATTTAAGTCCAGCCTTTGTTTTGTAGACAATACCTTTCTTACCTTTTTATCTCAAGACAAAGAAATGAGATTGTGAAAACCTATTAACAATTTTTTTTTGCATGAATTATTCCCTTTTTTTTTTTTTTCAAGGAAGAAGTTGTTCCCCACATCACTCACAAGGTTTTTGCAATAACTTATTTCCTAATCCACATTGCCTTATACCTTTTTATCTCAAGACAAAGAAATGAGATTGTGAAAACCTATTAACAATTTTTTTTTGCATGAATTATTCCCTTTTTTTTTTTTTTTGCAAGGAAGAAGTTGTCCCCCACATCACTCACAAGGTTGTTGCAATAACTGATTACCTAATCCACATTGCCTTGCCTTTAGGCACGCTGATTATTGTATTCCAACCTCTGTTCATAGATGTAGATTTCCTGATACCTCACTAATTCAAACGACCAAAACATTTCAACATTAAACTATTATCACTTTACTACTATTCTCCCCATTTTATCAGGAAAAGAAAAATATCTCTTAGTCTGTCTCTTGATACCCTGAGGTAAGGGCATGCTACCTGCTTGGATGTGATCCTTGCTATTCCAATGTTTCAGTTTTTTTATTTTTTTCTTAATTTACTGTTGCTACCGTAACTATATGTGTGATAACTGTATTAACAGCTGGTAGTGGTTCTTGTGGGAGTATGTTAAATTATAGGTCATCATTTTATTTGCTCTTTTGGTGGTGTTTTATTTCACTTGACAAACTTAAACTAAATATGAAACTAGGAGATATAGACATCTTTTTTTCTATCTATTTTGTCCAAATCTTCTGCATATTTTTGATTAAGCGTCCATTTTTTTTTAATTTAACAATATTCCTATGTTTTGTAGATAGGTCATTGTTGCCATGCTTGGAGACAATATTGTTAATTCTACCTTTAACAGTTTTCATATTTTCATCCACTCTCCAATGACTTTCCATAATGTACATGCACACCAGTTTACCATTCCACTCTGATGGCCACCTTCCACTCTTGAAACATAGGCATCTCAGCCACTCTGATGGCCACCTTCCACTCTTAAAACATAGGCTGCTCAGCCACTCTGGTGGCCACCTTGCACTCCTGAAACATAGGCAGCTCAACCACTCTGATGGCCACCTTCCACTCTTGAAGCATAGGCAGCTCAGCCACTCTGATGGCCACCTTCCACTCCTGAAACATAGGCAGCTCAGCCACTCTGATGGCCACCTTCCACTCTTGAAACATAGGCATCTCAGCCACTCTGATGGCCACCTTCCACTCTTGAAACATAGGCAGCTCAGCCACTCTGATGGCCACCTTCCACTCTTGAAACATAGGCAGCTCAGCCACTCTGATGGCCACCTTCCACTCCTGAAACATAGGCAGCTCAGCCACTCTGATGGCCACCTTCCACTCTTGAAACATAGGCAGCTCAGCCACTTTGATGGCCACCTTCCACTCTTGAAACATAGGCAGCTCAGCCACTCTGATGGCCACCTTCCACTCTTGAAACATAGGCAGCTCAGCCACTCTGATGGCCACCTTCCACTCTTGAAACATAGGCAGCTCAGCCACTCTGATGGCCACCTTCCACTCCTGAAACATAGGCAGCTCAGCACCATTTTCTTTTACATCCCTTAATTATAGAACCAATGGTTTCATGGTGCAATAATTTTATAACTTTATTCACTGTTACAAGCATAGGTCAGTATTTTAGCATTAGAAATAGTTTTGATCTTATGTTGTGCCTTCTTTATATAACTATGATACATGCTTTTTGGCTAATGTGTGCAAATACAAGTGTTCAGATGAGTTTTGGACCGAGATAAAACTCATTTAAGACAAAAAACTTCTCTCTTATGAAATTTTGAGTATTTACTCGTGTCATTTGTAAAGTTTCTACAAACTTGTTTACACACAAAATGTGTCTTTAAATGCAAATTAAATTTTCTGATCTATCACCTGATCTTGATTTTTCTTTGACTTTCTTTTATCGTTGTAAGACTAGGAGTTATGGAATAGGTTTAAAGTAGTTGATTCATTGATTCTATAGTCTGATAGTTATGATAGTTTTGTTACAGAAGAGTGCCAAACTATAACATGCTTAGAGAACTAGAGGCTAATGTTAGTTTTGTTACAGAAGAGTGCCAAGTATAACATGCTTAGAGAACTAGAGGCTAATGTTAGTTTTGTCACAGAAGAGTGTCAAGTATAACATGCTTAGGGAACTAGAGGCTAATGTTAGTTTTGTTACAGAAGAGTACAAAGTATAACATGCTTAGAGAACTAGAGGCTAATGTTAGTTTTGTTACAGAAGAGTGCCAAGTATAACATGCTTAGAGAACTAGAGGTTAATGTTAGTTTTGTTACAGAAGAGTGCCAAGTATAACATGCTTAGAGAACTAGAGGCTAATGTTAGTTTTGTTACAGAAGAGTGCCAAGTATAACATGCTTAGAGAACTAGAGGCTAATGTTAGTTTTGTCACAGAAGAGTGTCAAGTATAACATGCTTAGGGAACTAGAGGCTAATGTTAGTTTTGTTACAGAAGAGTACAAAGTATAACATGCTTAGAGAACTAGAGGCTAATGTTAGTTTTGTTACAGAAGAGTGCCAAGTATAACATGCTTAAAGAACTAGAGGCTAATGATAGTTTTGTCACAGAAGAGTGTCAAGTATAACACGCCCAGAGAACTAGAGGCTAATGTTAGTTTTGTTACAGAAGAGTACAAAGTATAACATGCTAAGGGAACTAGAGGTGAATGTGCTTTATAAGCAGACACAACTGATAAGGTTAACAGTGCAGAAACAACGGCAAGGCACTGAAAGGTGTGCAAACAGATATCTGCGCCTTGGCTTTGAAAGGATTTATGGGTAGTTGGTCTAAAAGAGGAATTATTTTTGAAATGGAAACATTAAATGGGACCTGTTAACAATAAAGTTTGTTAGTCAATAGAATTTTTTTGTGAAGGTCATGGGAAACTGTCATTGATGGCACTGTAGTAATTTAAGTGGGACATTAATTCAAATAATTAAATCAGTCTAATAGGAGTGAATGGGGCCAAAGTGTGTAATTAGAGGAATAGGCAAATATTTTTACTTTGGTCAATCTTTCATTCAATTCCTAACACTGTGATTAATTGGTAGTTTTAGATTACATGTCTTACAGTTCAATGCTGAGTCTTTGGAAGAAAATCTTCAATGAGATGTAACTCCCATAGGTGTTTAGCATTTATTGTCATTCGTGAACACTTAGCACATTTGGGTATAATCCACAGTAGTTATCACTGGATTAATTATATACAGCATTAACATGTGCAGTGTGTTTGGAAACATACACGATGCTTACATGAGAAATAAACAATAAGTTTGAAACAACAGAGAAGCATTATTTGGCAAGAAAAACAAGTATAAATCTTGACACACCAAACACAAGACCCATAGAGAAACTCTGTTGAACTTAAATGAAAGTATAGATGTTCAGTATAGAAGGCCTAAGGTTTACAGTCAACCATTTAGAAATAGATAATACTAAGGTGATTAAAAAAAATTGTTTAATGATGTACAAGTTATAAGGAAAGAAGGGTGGCTGTGTAGGTACCAAAATATCATAGTTACATCTTTATTTGTATAGACACCATCTACAATTGCAACTAAATAAATGTATATTTTATTAACATCCTGTTACATAATGCATCTGTTGACCTGCATAGATAGTATTTGAGAGCGAATAATTTTGGTATAGCTAATGTTTTAAATTTAGTTGCATTAAGTTGTATGACAGTAAACTGGTGCTTTACTATGACAGTGAACTGGTGCTTTACTATGACAGTGAACTGGTGCTTTACTATAACTGTAAACTGGTGCTTTACTATGACAGTAAACTGGTGCTTTACTATGACAGTGAACTGGTGCTTTACTATGACTATAAACTGGTGCTTTACTATGACAGTGAACTGGTGCTTTACTATGACAGTGAACTGGTGCTTTACTATGACTGTAAACTGGTGCTTTGCTATGACAGTAAACTGGTGCTTTACTATGACAGTGAACTGGTGCTTTACTATGACAGTGAACTGGTGCTTTACTATGACTGTAAACTGGTGCTTTACTATGACAGTGAACTGGTGCTTTACTATGACAGTGAACTGGTGCTTTACTATGACAGTGAACTGGTGCTTTACTATGACAGTAAACTGGTGCTTTACTATGACAGTGAACTGGTGCTTTACTATGACAGTGAACTGGTGCTTTACTATGACTGTAAACTGGTGCTTTACTATGACAGTGAACTGGTGCTTTACTATGACAGTGAACTGGTGCTTTACTATGACAGTGAACTGGTGCTTTACTATGACAGTGAACTGGTGCTTTACTATGACAGTGAACTGGTGCTTTACTACTAAACAAAACTAACAAATGCCTGACTGGTATTTTTAACTAAAGTAGGTCATAGGATGTTCATGTGTGTATAGAGCCTTGAAGATTTGATCCCAACTATGACATAATTGAACTCTCAACCAATAGGGAAATAAAATGACTGATTATTCCTACTGATTGTCCTTCATGAATTGTCATCTTATCAAATTTGTAAGGTTATAGTTCCTGATACTAGAGATAACAGCAGCACTAGATTCTAATGTCAACAGAGTTATCAATGATACATTGTTGTATGCATTAACAACCCAGTTTGACTGTATTTGAAAACATTTTTTGCATTTGTTTTGTATTAGTTTCATTTCTCATTTAAACCCCACATCCAAATGAAGCATTAATGAAATGCTCCTCATGCCCTTGCCCATACCATTTTATTCCCATTGGCTCAGCCCCCAATGCTTGAAATGTATTTGACCTGGTGTCATGCTCCATTGGAGAGGCAATTTAGGTTTATGCTAACTGCTCTTGTTAAAGGTGAAGTGAGGTACATCACCCCTAAAATGTACATAACTTTGGAGTCTGTTTAACTCTGCCTACAAGATCTGTCTCTTTCAAGTCTAAATACTTTCTTGCTCAACTTCTAATTTTAATAGCTTGATACTTTTTCTTATTTAATTTTTTTAAATAATTCAAATAAGTTACTTTAACGCATTCTTAATTAAATTTGAAGTAGGGGAAGAAAATGTATTATATTATTGTGCTTTTTATGAACACTATGAAATTAATAGATATATTTTTTGTAAAAATGCAGAAATCTTTAGAACTTTAAACTTGTTAAGTCTCAATAAGAACACTGTTATTTCTTCTCTGTCATTCATAACAACTTGGCCCTTTTAAAATCAATGTTGAGTGAAAATAATTTTAACTGATTTTTTTTTTTTTACATGTCAAATGCTTCAAGCCTAACCACTTAAACTCAAGTAAAAACTTTCTAATGCAGTTATGATGTTGGGAGATGGGGGTGTAGAAAAAGGTTACAAGGGATTGGGACACAAATCATTAGCTACTTGCCGCTCATCTCTATTAAAATGGTATATACATTTTAAAATGTCCTCTGAAATAAAACAAGGGCTCACAGCCACCTCCCTAATTAAATTGCATGAACATTATTATACATCACTTTGAGTTCCAGTAGAATAATAGGTTGAGAACAGCTGAATAAGCTATTTTGATGATGAGTAATGAGATGTAACATTAGGAAGTGAGTGTCTTGACGTTAAAAGCACTTTGTCAAGTGGCAAGTAAACAATGATGACAATCCTGAAGTGAGCAGGAGATGGAACAAATGTGTCAAACATTCCAAAGTCAAGACAGAATTTTCATTGACTATTTTGCTGATTTTAAACTAAATTATTGTGCTGTGTTCTGGAAGAAATTTATTACCCATTTATGTACCTGCAGTTTTTAATGGCCATACTTTTCTTATGGAGATTTTAGTTATGTAATAAAGCTAAAAAATCATTGATGATATTGTTCTAGTATAGCAAATTAAATTTTTTTAGTTTCATGAATTTTATGTGTGGTTTTTTTTTTGATGCGCATCAAGTTATAAAATAAACTTCAGCCAACAGTGGCATCAGTGTTTAAATACTGCATTAGAAATCTATTTAAATATCATGCCCTCAAATAATTAATTTATAGCAAATTAGATTTTAACTTAAATATAAAAGATTAAATAATCATCTGTTTCACATACAACCTTATAACTTTTAATTCAGTAATAATTGAAGATTATTGATACTGTTAAAAAAATAATAAAATTTTAAGCTGATGTAAGAACATTTATTTTACTAACACAAAAAAAGTTTAAGTTTTAACTACTGTAACAGAAAATAATGGATATGTAAAAGTGACAATCTTGCTCTTCTTTACAATGGATGTTCTGAGACGAACTTGCTCTCCTAAAGCCATTAAACGTAATTTTCGTCATCTCAGTAAACTTAAGATTTCCAAAGACAAAAAAGCAGAGCGGATCTCCAAGCCAAAACGTTTAGACTGCTATGTGGCCATAGCTGCTTACGCGGCTCAGGCATCAGGAGAGATAACTCTTCAGCCGGGACTAAAAGTTGAGGTCCTTGAAAAGAGTGACAGTGGTAAGAAAAAATTAAAATAGATGATAATTTATATGAATAGTTTGATCTTAAGATTTTTTTAAACATATCTAGGATATCTAAGTTTTTAAAAATATTTAGACTATAGTATAAAATAGAAAATAATATTGTTATAGAGCATAGAATATGTGACTTGAACAAATTTTGACTTTGCATATTTCCTCTCAATTTAATATTGTAGGAGGTTTATAATTCTGATTTTGTTTTAAACAAAGAAAATCTTATTTCTATTTGTTTACAAATATTTTATGTTATATTAGCCTATTAATATGTCATTTTCTTTGTGTCTAAAACATCAAGTAAATGGTCTTGGTCTTATTGTTTTTTTAACATTGATTAATAATTCTAGATAAAAAATAAAAAAAATTCTATGGAGAAGAGAAAATTTTAAAACTCAGCTTGTCAAACTAATGCTGACCTGAAATTTCAATTTTCTTTTATTAAAAAACTGGAACTAAAAACAATTTGTTCAATATTGATCCAGGTTGGTGGTTTGTCAACTCGGAAGATGAACAGGGCTGGGTACCAAGTACTTACCTGGAACCTGAAGAAGGTGGAGCTCCAAGCTCAATGCAAGGACCACTGGCAGAACCAGGCAAAGGTTAGTAACATTTATTGGTAAACATTTTTATTATATTACAAATGGAAAAAAGATGTTCCCTTGATGGTAAAATAATTTTATCATTGTAAAAAATTTTACATTTTTCAGAAGAGAACTTCATATGTATTGAGGAATTTTTAGCAGGCAGCCCAGATGAAGTAGGCTTAGAGAAGGGTTCTGTTGTGCAAGTCATTCAGAAAAATATGGACGGATGGTGGCTTGTGAGGTTAGCTCTGAAATTTGTATTTAGTAACATTATCTTGCTGTTATTGTCAATTTTAGAAAAGAAGTAAACTTATTGGCACTTATACTTTTTTTCTAAAATTCATTCAATATAAGATAAAATGGTTAGCTAAATGTTTTATATATTGAAAACATAAAATAAGTTATGATTGAGGAAAAGAAATGCAGTGCGTCATAGGCTATCATTCTTTTGTTAAGATCGAAAGTTAGCAAATCCTAAAACAATCAAAGTAACTATAAAGAAATTTAGACTTTTGTAAGTTAATATAAAATTGTTCTTTCTTATATTATCAAAATACTCATGAGTATCATAACAACATTGGTTACTTGTAAGGTTGAAGTATTATTATGTTGTAGTATTTGCCTTAATTATCCATATTCACAATCATCCATGATACTTGAACCACGAGGCATTTGATTTCACATCACGGGTTTATTTATTGACACAGTACAAAATAAATCTCCTTCAACTGGAGGAAACATAATCGTCATTGACTTATTTACTTCACATACATAATTGTTGGGTAAACATTAAGATGTTGTGTGATGCACATTAAATCGATGCTAGAGCACGAAAAACTACTGCCATGAATACCTCCTTATGAATCACATTCTTCTGGGCATGACATCATCAATATAATTAACTTCCTGTTACTGTTACTCCTAAATTACTAAAACAACACATTATCTGAAAAAATTGATTACGTCAATATTTGATTTGTGACAAGTATCCATTAGCTGTGCATATTAGCGCTGATCATTGGTCATCTAGAATCTTAATAAAAGAATCTTTGAATTTTAACAGATACAATGGCAAGGAAGCTTATGCTCCGGGTACAGTGCTAAAGAAGGTCAGCAATGCCCAAACTGTCAGTTTGGTAGAGAAATCCAGATTTAGTGGTGTTGAGATCATCAGCAGTTTGCAGGATGTCAGTACTCTGCTAAACCAGTCGGCTAAAGGGGATGCTCAGGTTTGTTGCGTCCAGTGTAATTTGAGAATATATTTATTGAGATAAGCACTGGCTTAATGAAATAACTTGTTAAAGGGACTATTATTGTGAATATGGTTTATTTAAATGTTGAAATCACATAATTTTTCCCCACCTCTGATAACTTTAGCTAAAGCAAACACCACATGCCGCTGGCTCAAGGAGTTCCCAGATATCTGAAAGTAAAAGTGCACGTGATGGTTTTCAGTCTGTTATTTTAAAGCAGCGGTCTTTGGAAAGGGGTGGAAGCCTGGTCCCTCCTCCACGACAAAACTCAATTATGGTAAATGAACTTTTCTTTTGTTATATGATCATATGATAGACGAAAAGTTACATTTATAATCAATGTCAATAACCAATCAATCCAAGTCTTCTTTTTTTTTTAATTGCGTAGTAAATACTTTGATGGAAATAAATATGTAGAAGTATTTGTTGAGATTGCAATGTAATTTGTGAAAAATTTGAGATGTTATTTGCTCTACTTCTGTTTGAAATTCTATTTGAGATCTTGTTTAAATGCTGACAAGTATTAAGTAAACGAGTGTATAAAACAGTTGTTAATTGTGTCATGATCATTCCATCCACAGAAAAGCAATGTACCTGATTCCCCCACCAGGTCCAATGTGTACATAACAGTTGTAGATTTCAGTGACACTGTTGGTGATGGACTGAGCTATCGGAAAGGACAAAAAGTGTTGGTTAGTCATTTTAACACCCTTGGCCATTGTATTTCAGCAGAACATTGTGTATAATTGTCAAACATATCAATCAAGTCACAAATTATCTCAGTTTGCCAAAAAAAACTGTTAACACTAAGAGAGCTGCTAAATTTTTAATACCCAGTAGTTACATCAGGAACATGTTCTTTTAAATGCTGTCAATTAATATGGTTTGTTTAAGTAATTATTAATGCAAATATGAATAGGTACAAATGTGTTACAATGTATACATCCGGCCAGATCCAAATGCTATTGGACTGCCTGTGTAAGAAAATAACAAAACTTAGAGTTTTCCTGTTTTGTACACTCCTGCTGTGCATAATGAATTACCTCGTTAACATTTTAGCTCATTGGAATGGCTTTTTGTTTAATTTTTTTTTTTTTTGGATCATCAGGTCACAGAGAAATCTAGCACAGGTTGGTGGTATGTGACAATGGGTGACAAAGAAGGATGGGTGGCCTCAGCACACCTGGAAAGCTATTCTGGACCTTTAGTACGTACCATGTTGAATCATAAATTAGTCTTTTTTCCTGAAAACTAAGAAAATACCTCTTCCAATAGGAGTTTCTTTGACATGGTAAAATAATATGCAACTCTTGTTCACACTTAAGAATGGCACTTATTTACAAATTGATACTGATAGCTTTAAAGGAATGTGGGATAGAAACCTTTCAGGGGCAAATGCTGCTAAGCATATTTTAACTGTCATTGTTTCATATTTTCACCAACGAATTCATTTAATTATATTATTCTTTACTGTAGTTTAATTAAAGTGGTAGTTACTTTTGTAAACTAGGTTCTGTAGCTTACATACTTGTGTTTTCCTAAATTGCAACCAAATGGACCAAATAATTTTTATTTTGTTAAAAGAAAGCTGAATTTATATTGTCATTTCTGCTACCACAGGACTCGAACCCAGGTTATGAGGTTGCGCCACAAAGCACTATGACAAGCATCAATGATGAAGAATATGATTATGAGGATGAGGACTGGTACGTTGCACCTGACGAGCTTCCTGATCAAACTGAAGAAGTCTCAAGTGAAGATATCAGCACGAACCGACAACCAGTGCCATCACTTCCTACAGGATCAGACAAAATTACTGCTGGTAAAACTAAACCTCTTCCTCTACCTCCTGTGAAGAAGTCAGAGGGAGCTTCAAAACTGTCAGAACCTGGTGTCAAAAAAATTCCAGATCCACCAGTGAAACCAAATGCCAAAGTTCCCGATCCACCTGTCAAACCTAATGCTAAAGTTCCTGATCCCCCTCTTAAGCCACATACAAAAATTCCAGATCCACCCATCAAACCAAATGCAAAGATTCTAACTCCACCTGTCAAACCAAATGCTGTAAATCCAAAAACTTCCGAACTCTCCCAGGATAATGACCTTGCGGGTATTCTGAAGGCCAAATTTGAGGCAAGATCTGTTGCCGTGTCATCAACGGAAGAAACCCCCAAAAATGCTGGAACCAAATTCAAACCAAATTTTTTAAAACATGAATCGCAAGATCCAAGACAACAGCCATTGCCTGGAACAGCTGAAGCTAGACCTGTCTTGAAGCCACCTCCACCAGCTAAACTCAAACAACCCACGGGGAATTCCACAAAACCTGTTGTTGTCACCAAACCTGCTCCTGTATCAACAGCAAAACCAAATCTTCCAGTTTTTCCACCCAAAGTAGCAGGGTCAAACACTGAACATAATAACATCTTTGAGAAAGAAAAAGACACTAATCAAAATAGATTCAGCAATGTTAAAAGGATGTCTGCAGCATTTAATCCTGCACCTAATTTGAAATCGGTGGAAAAACCATTAACCGGTAAGCCACAGCCTCCTGGCAAGCCAAAACCTTCAATGACACCCAAGCCAAATCTGGCTAATCCAACAAATTCAGGTCACCAAACATCTGGACAGAGTGTGAGCAACTTGGCCAGCAGCCTATCTGGCAAACTAAACTTTGGCCAGACGGCAAAAGGAAACCAAATGAGCGAAAGTGAGAAAAACCCAAGAGATACATCCTCTCAGATGCCACCACCACCCCCACCACCAAGTAAACCTTCAGTAGCACCACTGTCGGGTGCCCAGTTATCTACTACATCATGTACTCCGTTGTCCAATTTGTATATTGCAACTTGCGACTTTGTTGCTGAGAATGAAGGGGAGCTGGGCTTCTCAGAAGGAGATGAGGTAGAGATGTTGGAGGAACAAGGGGATTGGTGTCGTATACGATGCTGGGATGAAGAAGGATGGGCACCTACAAATTACCTTCAAAAGATCTAATGGAAACCAAAACTTGTTTACTACCCTTCTTTATATTAATTATACCAAGATAGCATTATGTTCATTTGAGAAAAAATGAATTTATTATTATGAATTCAAAATTATGTAACACTGATTTTTTTAATAACTGCCAAAAAAATTTTTCTTCTACATAGAATCTTTATCATCTTCTCTGGTATTAAAATCTAAAATAATTAATATTTATAATGTTAAAATATGTTAGCTTTAAATTAAATTTTTTTATTGATGCTTCAAACAGTAAGAGTGATTTTAAAATGAAATGGTTACAAATAATTATTGTGATGGAGACAAATTCTTTGTGATAAAATTTGATTACTTAATAATTAATACTAGCATTTACATGCTATTTTTTAAATAATAAAAACATAATTTGATATCTCATTTGTGTTGTGATGTAAAAAAAAGTTATTTATTTAAACCAAAGCATTATATTTATACATCAGCCTATTATAATTCTAACTTTTAGAAAATAATGTTTTCATTTTCATGTATCATAATAATTTTGTTTTCCACCTGAAATGAATTCAATAGATGTTTTACTTCTAGTTTCAAAAATAAACAATCAAAAGACTTCATATTTTTTTAATCCAGACCAACATTTCATTCCTTCTATATATTATTTTTAATTATTACATTGCAATATTCATGGATCCAATTAAATTGGATTCTGCCAAGATAAACTACTGCATATCAAGCTTTAATGATAATTTTTGTATTTTTCTCTGGAAATTAAGTAGCACTTTTAATTAATTATAGAAACATTTTATAAACCTTAAATAGAATAGTTCATCTCTTCAAAGTTTGAGAGAGCTTGTAATCTTGGAAGTGTGCTTTGTCCCCATTATTTTGACCAATTAATAGATTAATATAAACTCTAAAGATAATAGTGACATATGTTTAATTGGCATTATTTCTTACAAATAAAAATTTTAAGTTAAGTATGTCTTAGGATTGGCTCTGAAATGTAATACTCAAAATACCATTAGTATGTTCATTTTTAATGGACTGATATTTAAGGATCATGAAAAATTGGATTCTTTAAACTCTCAACATGGTTTGTTCAGATCTTTCTTTTATACCATTCACAATAATTTAAACAAAATACAGTATGTAAGCTTGGGCAGCTGAAATGGTATTGTTAAAATATAAGTTACCATAATTTTATACATTTCTTATTGCAGTTATCTCTTCTGATAATATCTAGTCATTTAGGCATAGTATTAATTTTTTAAAGACACCATGTGATGATGTGGGCTTAAAGATACATTTCTATATTAGGCTGTTATCCTTTCCATTTCATTTAGTTTATGTGGGGTTGAATTGATAATACATTATAGAATATCCCTCACTCCAGAAATTGTGTATTTCTTTAAATAATAATAATTGCTAATTTGGGATAAAGTTTATTTTTATTTACTCTCTCTTTGTTAATCATTTTTTATTGTTTGAAAAACTAAAGTATCAATAACAATGTGATATAGTTCTTTGATTAAGGAAACCTTTTGAAAGAATTTCCTGAACTTGCATTTGTGAATTTAAATGTTATTAATTACATCTCAAAAGCATCTTTAAATCTTTAGTAATGATGCCCAATCATGGACAAATTTTATTACAGTTTTAAAAGCAAACGCTTTTATAGCCTTTTTAGAGTGAATTGTATATATATTTCTGAAATTCATAATAGCATTTGGGAATATTGGCACGAAAAATCTGTAAGGCTACTTAACACCTCTATAAAACCATTGTGAAATATTTGTCACGTCATAAACTAAGAAACGTTTTAATAGGAATTTTAGTGAGGATGGGATCAAACTGCGACCAAATTAGAGCTCCCCAAACCTTGACCATATCTGGCACTTCTTGCTTTTGAATGTACAGTATAGTTAAAAATAAGACTTTAATATTTAATGGATGCACTTCCAATTGAATGTTTTTAAATATTGCTTTTGAATGCTTGAAGCTTTGTTTATTTTTCACATTTTAAAATGTTAGTTAAGATTTTTCTCTTTATTCCAAACACTATTTTAAAGTTTTTGACGTTGACTAGAATTGCATGTCAAATTGATTTGGTTTTTTAAAGCTTGTGGATTTTAAACAATTTTTAGTATTTATCACTTAGAATTAGAAGGTCATTATACTTTACAACTATATGACTCAGTTGCAGAGTCTCTTAGAGTGTATGAGGAAAATGTAACCTAAACTTAACCAAATTTGTTTAGTTACTTCAAATTATTGTTTAATTTCATCCTTTAATTCTTGGTTAAATCTCTATCCATTGCATATTTACTAATACCTGTATGAATACAGAATTGAATTGAGTATAAAGTGCTTGTTTAATTTGCTCATATGCTTGCCTTATTTTATAAAATCTTGCCATTTGTGATTAATGGATTTATCTTGTTCTCATTCCAAAAAGCCTTATTAATTACATTATTTGCAATTACATAATATTATATTCTTGATCATGTGGACAGTTTGATAAAGGACTTCATAGAACCTATTTTAAGTTCTCAATAAAAAATTATGTTAGCTATTCTATAACTGAACAATAATAATAATAACATTGATGGCTGATTTCTACACTAGAGAAATACTAGATGTCTTGTAGTTAAATTGTTATAATTGTAAAATGTTGTCTTGGTTAAAATATGTATTTATTTTGCTGAAAATGACTATATATAATTTCATTCAAAAAATTCTATTTATTTGGATCAATAAAAAGAATCTTATCTTATTTAATTTTAACTATTTAAATAGAACTAACAATAGCTGGTTTAAAACCTCAAAGTCTGTAGAGCTAGTTGATGAACTTGAGGGTCCTAGAGTTGCAGCATGATTATTAATTGTTTTATTTACTACATGACTCATTACTGGAGTAACAGGAAAAAAGATTGGAGGGCAGCAAGTAGACTCCTGAAAGAGATCACTAACCCAAGACCGTTTATATGCAGATTGTTTATGAAAATATGACAAATAAGTCAGTCAAATGAGATTATTTTAAATTGTAAGCAGGTCACACTATATAAAAATAATTGTAATAAAATTAACATAATTTATTACATTTATATTTGTTTTAACCTCTCCAAAACTGGAAAATGTGACTTGAAGCATATAAATATAATTTGATTTCTGATAATGTTGAAAAACAATTTATTATGAATCCTATTAAGTTTCTGTTTAAAAATTGTTCTAGTTCATGTATCTATGAGCTTCTGTCCTGAAAATTCTTATGTACAAGGTATAAATTTAAACATACAATTTTTCATTTTTTGAAGGGCTTGAGTAAATACTAACCCTTATGAAAAGTTTCTACAGAATAATGGGTACATTCCTATCATACCTATACCCAGCTTGTTTGAAACTATTTATGTAAAGTTCCTGTGTTCATGTCTCTTATAAAATTGTTTGTGGACCATGGGGGTGGATGCTTTCAAAAATATTGTATACACTGTTTTTAATTCATTTTACATAATTCAAAATCCATCTTTATTTCGTTTACTATTCTTAATTCATAATTATTTTGAAAAAAATAATTGTTATATTTACTAAGATACTAATAATTATTACAGATGTTTGATTTTGTTAGTGATATAACAAGACGATTATCAAATTTGACTTCAAAATATCATATGAAAACTAATAAATGAAATGTGTTAATTGCATTCGTAAAAGATTTTCTTTTCCTCTCTTGAAATCTGCTAAAAATGTGTTAAATTTTTTTTTTTTTTTTTTTTTTTTTTTTTTTTAAATCTATTATTATGTTGCCAGTTTTCTTAAAATAGATGGGCAATGAAAAAGTTAGTAAATAAATAATGTGAGCATCTGAAGAGAAAAATGGCTGAAAATAAAGACCACCCAGAACTCAATGATGACAACTACCATCAGCTTGCTTGGAAGGATCAGGTGGTATTTTCCATCTCCACACATGCCACAACAGATGTGTGCCCATGTGGGAATTGAATAGTTAACACTGGACAAAGAATTTTAAATACCATACTTAAAATAAAGCAGTTGTTTTTTTTAATTCTTAAAACATGCACAGTTAAAAAATGTTAATTTTTCTGTTAAAATCCACAAGCAGCTTTCCGCAGTATTCAGGAATAACATTCAACTTTCTTGACATACCGGTCATAAAAATTATACAATCATGCTGGCAATACAATTTAGTTACATTTTGAATGACATATTAAAATGGAGTTTCTTCCTATAATCATTGAACACCCCTATCAATCTCTACTAAATAGATAACTCGGCTAACCATAAGTCTTAGTTTGACCAGGATTGTCCTGGTTTAGCAGTTCTGTCCCGCTGCTCCAGCCAGTTTGATTTTCTGTCCAGCTTTCTTTCAATCCCAATTTTAAAAATGTGTTAAAATAAACTTGTCCATTCTATGTTAGTCTCTTACTCTTACACATTGTTAATCTCTTACACATTGTTAATATCATCCATTTTGCACAATATACAATTAAAAGGGAATAAATTATTTCTAGTACAGTAATGAAATAACTTTTTTTTATAAATCTTTATTTCCAAAATAATTTTTGATACACCTCAGCAGACACAGAGATATATAAGTTGCACAAATGTTATGAAATTTCAGAAGCCTTCAAATGAATGGGGTTTTTTATTTTGACAATAGCAGCATCAAATCAAATATAATTCAATATCACATGCAATAAATAAAATTAAAGCCATCAAAATGTCACGCACTCAACTACACTGTGACTAAGGTACTTAAGAAAACAAAAATAGAAGAAAACAAACTATTTTCTCAAATGGCACCTAAAATAGGAATCAATATTATAAGTTATAAGGATAGTTCTTGTGCCAATTTCGACTATGCTCTGAACTACAAATTGACAAAAGAAACTACATCTGGGCAGATAGTACTTCTGGTACCCAGATTATGTTGCAAAGAAATGTAGAGATGCCTAGCATAAAATATATAGGAAGCAGAAACAAAGAATTATTTGAACCAAATGTAAGCCAAATATCCACATTAGCACACTGAAAGCCCACAATATACATTGTTGATGAAAAACAAAGAATCATTTTAATTTTGATGGGACCAATAGAAGCTTCAAGTATTTTATTAAAAGTAAAACCCTCACTGAGGGCTAAACATACAGTACAACATTAACCCTCTTATAAAATTCATAAAATTAACTTTTTAAATAAGGAAAAAGCTGTTGCACAGGAACACATAAAAATACATATGACAGTATTTTATATGCTGTAAAGAAAACAGATTATGAACTTTCTTATGTTGCATAACCAATTACAATACTAAATAGTTTGAAGAATTATACTTTTTCTGCAAAAAAAAAAAAATTCTCAACTATTCTTATGTTCCTGAACCTGCAGAAACAAAATCGTATATAGAACATCATAAAAATAGATTATTATATCATAATAAGCATGAAAAAATGTTTTCTTTAATCAAATCCAATTGTTTGAGTTTAAAAATGTGTCTCTTAAATATCCTTTTTACTATAGTTTAAGTTTCAACAAATTAAAGATAACTTATACTTAGCTGTTAGCAATTTACACTCCATAACGATAAAATATTATTGCCTAATTATTTTGTTGTTTTAATTTAACAAGTAATTTTATTGTGACCATATTTCATCAATTAAGCAATTGTTATAATTTTCAACTGTTAAAATTTACCATGTAAACATGACGCATACATTTTTTATCTGTCACCGTAAATATCATAGTTGTCTAATGTCTGGTAAAGTTAGTATCAACTACAACTAAAATTTCATCAACAAGTCCATAAGTTGTGTGTATATAACAAAGAGACCACTGGCAAAAAAGCCAAATAGTCCACTAACATCACCGAGGAAGAAGACAAATTGACATACAGCAAAACAAAATAAAAACCTCAAAAAACATTTAAATGAACTGCTTTTTACAACATGCTCTACACCTCTGTAACGTTTCTGTATACCAAGTGTCTTGGGAATAACAGACAAGCAAAATCTCTCTTTTGAGACATTCCCAAGATTACCAAAGTGACAAATCTTCCTACAAATGCCTAAGCTGACATCAAAAATATGAGAAAACTGCCCACCAGTGAAACGACTATGATCAACTCTGATATGGTTACTTGTAAAGATCTTACGTGTTGCATCCAACTTGTAGGAAAATTCCTTATATGTATCAAGTACTTCCAAACAAACATCATTATCCTGAAGGTCCAGAAGAAATGCAAGACCCCGCTCGAGACGTTGAATGTACATTTTAAGATTTTGTAAAGCAGTTTCAAACTTTTCCAGCTGTTTTTCTTCTGAGCACTTTAACTCCCTTGCAATCTCAAACTTCTTTTGCATTACTAAATCATATGATTTTCTCGCTACCACATCAAGAGCAAGCATGGAGTGCTTCGAAGCTGTAATAACTTCCGATTTCATTTTTTCTAAGACTTCAGCTGCTTTCAGTGCATTCCTTTTTTCTGATGTTAGAGAATCAACCTCTGACTGCAAAAAAGATTTAGACTCCCTCATTTTTTTACTAAGAGGAATAATACTGTGCTTCTTATGGCTGGTGAAAGAACAACTGATACAGATTGCCTTATTGCAAGTACAACAATACATCTGCAAAATTTCTTCAGCATGGTCACTACATGCACTGTTTGAAACTTGATTGATGTTAATGTTGGCAGTTTCTATTCTCAAAACCTTGGGTGGATCTGCGTGAAACTCTAATCTATGGGCGTGGATACAGAAGTGACATATGTCAATGTCACAGTCTATACAGCGAAACTGCGATGTGAGCCAGTCACGCTCACATATTTCACACAAGCTTGTGTATCCTGAAAGTAAGGCAAAGAGTTTTAAAATCAGCGTCCCTTTCTCAACTAAACATTACAAATATTTGATTTTCATGTCTATAAAAGAATATTGTTTCGTGCTCTTATTTTAATTTTTTAACAGAATTATCAGATTTTTAAAAAGTTAATAATAAATGACTAATGACGCCATCCCAAATGTACCTTTTGTTCCAAGCTCATCTTGTAAACTTGTGATATAAAAATTAATTGGTAAATTTGTTATTCCTCCCTGTGGGACAAAAACATCTGATCGACATTGAGGACACTTAAACAGTCTGCCTGTGGTGGAGGATGACTGAAGGACATTTGAGATGCATTCAAAGCATAAAGTATGATGGCATGGAAGTATCCGAGGATCTTTGTATTCATCCATGCACACTGCACATTGGAGCATTCGTTCTCGTAAACGTTCAATTTTCTCAGTATCCATCTTGAGAAATTAGTCTGCAGAAAAAATGGTTACTCATTGTAACAATAAAAAGAAACTGATTCTTAAAATGAATATTAATCTTTAACCTTACTTTAAGAATTACAGTAAAAGGTCAATCACATTATGACATCATTTGAGGATATTTTTGCCATATATGGAGTCTCCATTGCAACTGGTCATGGCACTTCATCTAAAGCAAGGGTTCTTAGCCAAGGATGCCCACACCCACTTTAAGTGAGAGGCAGTGCCAAGAGGTGAGAGAGAAACCAAGAGATTGTTATTTGCTGTAATTGCCACTTGTTGCTAACTTTTTTTGCACATTATTTGTACTGATGAATATTTTGTTTCTAGCAAAGAATGAAAACTACCACAAATGAAGTATTTTCAAATTTCTTAATTTTTTTGTACCAGCACTGGTACAAGACAATTTATCAAGGGGGGGGGGGGGTGTTGTTGCTTGACTGAAAAAAGGTTGAGAACCCTTCTTCTACTATGCTTAAGTCTTAAACCCCACCCACCCACTGTGTGAATTCAACTTTTTTTTACCATTATTTGTACTGATGAATATTTTGTTTCTAGCAAAAAATGAAAACTACCACAAATGAAGTATTTTCAAATTTCTTAATTTTTTTGTACCAGCACTGGTACAAGACAATTTATCAAGGGGGGGGGGGGGTGTTGTTGCTTGACTGCAAAAAGGTTGAGAACCCTTCTGCTACTATGCTTAAGTCTTAAACCCCACCCACCCACTGTGTGAATTCATAAAATCTTACCCTTCAGATTATCTGGTTATACTAATGAAAAACAAAATCTAAATCAATAGCCCAAATACTGCATAAAATTTAACAATTTAAAGATTTTGAAATTCTAGTATTGAAATAGAAATAGTTATTTTGGTAGCCCTACGACTTTGAGGCTGTCCATAAAGTTTATCATGCTTGGGGGGGGGGGGGGGGGGGTCCCACAAAAGGGGGGGGGGGGGGTTTAAGTTCTAGTGTGATGTCACAAATTTAAATTTTATATCATACATATAAAACCTGAAATTGAATGTGATGTTGAACTTTCTGGTGATGGATGTGATGGATTTATTCTGACAGAAGATGTCCCTCTTATACATTTTAATACTTAAATAGTTTGTTTGAGATTAAATTTTAATAAGTTTTTAATATTAACAACTTTTAAGTTTCCACCTGTGACACTTTGGAGGGGGGGGGGAGCTGAGATTTGTTACAGGGGAAAGGGAGAGGGTAAAAATTAACAAAACATAGCATGACATACTTTTATGGACAACCCTTATTATAAGCCTATTTATATTTTAAAATGTCCTTTAAAATAGGTCTTTTACTAGTTCTAGGCCTACTACTACTAGTATTGAATTAAGCCTTGCCTTAGGAGTGATGGACAGAGGTAGAATCGGACTCAAGAGCCATTCACAAATGACATTTTGCTTGATTTTTACGTATTTTACCCTCACAAATTTGTAACACTTTTTTTTTAATTGGACGATATAGTATATTTTTAGACGCAAATAAAGATTCAAATTTAATATTATTAATGAATAATAAAGAATGAAGTGAAGTCGAAGTCCTTGGACTTTACGAATAGCCCAAAACTCCAGAATTATCAATCAAACTAAACTAAAAAGTGGCCTGGGGATAAAAGGCAAGGCGCCTAAGGCCTAAACATTAAAATTAAAAGCCTGTCTACTCTGACCGATAATGATAAGGCCAATAAGGGCGCTGTCTTTCAGTCTATTGTCTTAGTGAGTGACTCTAGACATAATAAGTTACGTAGGAGACAGTAGTAGTTAGTAGACACTGCGTTCACTGTCACTGACTACTAACACTAGTATTAGAAGCCAGAAGTAGTCTCAGTTAGTGAAACTAAGTGAAGACTAAATAAAACTAAAAGTCAGTGAAGAAACGAGTCTATTCAATTCAATTTTAAAATAAATTAAAAAAAAACATGTTCATTATTGCCTACATCACTTATTCACGAAAATACTTTTAATAATTTCTTTTAGTCTCACCGGCCTGGCCATAGTCTAATAAATAACTTGGGAGACAAAATATTTTTTTGAATAGTTGAAGGAAACAGCATAATAATAATAGGCCATTTAAAATAATTAGCTATTTAAAAACAAACTATAAAAAACTATTAGTCTTTTTGTCAATTCGCAATTTAACAACCTTTTACTTAGATTCCCCACCCCAACCCCTTTTCTATTTTTTTGAGGGGGGGGGGGGCTGAATTGAAATATATTTATTTATTACACATAATTATATATATTTTTTATCATACAAATAAAACCTGATTTGACAATGATGTTGAACTTTATCTTGTGTTGTATGTATTCTGACAGAAGACTTCACGTGCAGTTAAATAGTGAAGTGTGTTTTGGATTTAATTTTAATTAACTGTTAATTTTTTTTTTAAATAATAATAATAAAATTGCAAATGTAACATGCTTAAAGGGGGGGGGGGGGGAGATTGAGATTTGTGACAGATTGTGAAAGGGTTGGGGGGGGGGATAAAATATTTCCGAAAATAGCTAGATGTAGCCTACTTTATGGACGGTCCCCAGGTCGAAGAAAAGGAGTTATGGCATGGGATAAATCGTCTACGACTGTCTGCAGACTTAACGTCTACATTTAATTTTGAAAATTTGATGGACTGTGTTGTCGTCGGCAACAAGTCTATGTGCCAAGTTTTAGCTTGATGGATTGACGGGAAGTGGTCAATTAGTCGTCCGAAGATTTTCCCACATAACCAAACTGAAAGAAAGAAACACACAAACAAAAGCGAACGATTTATATAGGATTTTCAAATTCGTGTGCTCACATTAAATGTTTTTCAACATTTTAGTTTGAGAGTCCACGCCAAACTGCTACTGGGGCCTATTAAAGCAGTTAAAATGATGAGCTCTTAAAAATATAACGTTGACGTTAATAAGTGTGTGTGGGATTACATGTGTAGGCCTACATTAAAGACCCCGGCCTGTGAATGTGAACACTACCACCCATTTTTTAAAATTTAAAACATTCGCGACTATAGGACATGAGCCTATTTTGTGAGCTCGTCTGTGTAAATGACGTAGTAGTTGCCATTCATAATACTTGTTCTTAAGAGTTGTCATTGATAGCCTTAAAGTTATAAATAACTCTATAATGTCACGGTAGGCTGTATATAATATAACATAGTTAGACGGAATTTTTAAAAAATCAAAGTAGGCCCATTCATAATCATCAGTCAAAAAATATTTCTTTTGCTTCTACTTATATCCCCTTCCATGGCCTCAAAATTAATAAACTAATTTATAAACTTTCTGACCTGTTCACCACATGGTCTCGTGGCGTGGCTTATCAGTTGTTTTGCGTTTATTTTAATTTAACAGGCTTGGTGGACATAATATTATGGCAGCGCCTAATTGGACACGGTGATGTGGGCCACAGTGGCATTCCACTTGTGTTTTCAGGTCTGCGGCAATCGTTTCAATCGAGAATGTATTTATTTCTATCTAAATTTTAACCGTGTAGGCCTACCGTAAAACAAAGGCAGGTAGTTAGCCTACATTTATACACTGAAGAAAAATGATTTTTTAAAAAATCTATTAATAGCTTACACTGACGAAAAAATACATCATTGTAACGTGGCTAAATAAATGTTTTTAATTTAATGCATTTTTTTCATTGGGAATTTCAACCATTAACCTTTATATTCCTTTTATTGTTGATATCAACGTAACACCAAACATATTTATCAGTAAATTGTAAATAACATCTAATTGGTATTCTTTTTTTTTTTTGGTCCCATTCTATAGTTATGCTATGCGCCACGCCACTGGAAGGCTACCTAGGCTAGGCCCTAATAGTCTTAATAGTAAATCAGGCCAAAGGAAGAAAAGAAAGTGAGACATAGGCCTTGTTATTAAGCCTCAGGAAACAAACATAACATTTGCCTCTGGGGGATGGAAAACAACTGAATTTAATTTCTATAAAAAGTAAGTGTGATTAAATAATGCATTGTAAATAGCACAATATCAATAAGTTGATTTATCTACTAAAACTACCCCCTTATCCCCACCCTCTCCAAAGTGTAACGCGTTGTTCGACTACGTCGCTCCCAGTCTATTTTAAAGTCTGAACTGTGTAAAACTCAAGGTGTTGTTGTTGTTTTTTTTAATATTTAATTCACCAATCAAAGTTGCAATCGAAAAGTAGCAGGGGGGCCTCCAAGTAAAGCGACGACGGCTCTGAAATAATATTCAACGGGGAAAAAATGTGTTTGGGGGTTGCCACAACATAAGGAATTTTATTATAGGGTCTCTGACTCTGCATGAAGGTTGAGAACCACTGCTCTAGGCAGCGTTCGGGGAACGGGGAACGCTGGCTAAAGGATTTGAAAGCTTATACTTAACTTATACTTATTTACAATTACCAATTAAAATACATAATAATTTTTTGAATTACATTTCCTTCTATAACTTTAAAATAGAAAGAATATGAATAAAAGAAATGTTAAATGTAAAATCGTTGAAATTGAAAGCTAACAACAACAAAAATGGTTAAGTCCAAAGTCCTAAGCCGAAATGATAATAAAACATACAAAACAAAAAAAAAAAAGAAATTAATTTAGTCTTAGGGCGGCAAGGGCAAGGGTATTAGTATCATTATAAATAAAAGTATTGCATTACAATACAAGGGTCAAACCGGCACTACATAAATAAAATAACTCGGGCGATTTTATTCATAATAAATTTTCGAATTGCCTTTCAGTTCAGCAATATTTTCATATAGTATAGTCTTTAGTAAGTCAGTAAGTTTAGGGTAAAAGTGCAGTTCAGGTGCGTATATTATTTCTGTTTGAATTTCTTATTTTCCCGTGTAAAATTATGTTAATTCTTTATAAAAAGTATTTTAAAAGTTATATACCATCTTTTTATTGGAATACAACAATTTAACAAATTTTACGAGATAAAAAAAGTACATTTGTATGAATCTTTCGTGTTTTACGGAGCCATTGTGGTAAATCAAGGATAACTCTTTTGTCTTTAAAGATACTTTATAAAAGTTGCCCAATTGGATGAATCTTGTTAAAATAAAAGATTTATTTATTTTATAACTTTACTATCAACGATAACCGGAGTCGCCCGGGGCTGCATTCAGACAAAAACATCTGCTACGTCCTTTTAGTTCACATTGCTATTAAAGGAAATGTCAACAACAAAACAACAACACTACAGTAAAAATAATAATAATTAATTTGTCTCCTATTAAAAACAATTAAAATAACTTATGTAAACCTTTCGTTTTTCCTGTTTTCCGATGGCACCCGGAAGGATCATGATGGGATCCCGAACCCGATGTGATTCCGATAGAATCCTGGTCATGGTGGGATCCCGATCCCGGTAAGATACCGATCCCGGTGAGATCCGTTTTCGGTGGTATCCCAAACTAAATGAGATCCCAATCCAGTGGGATCCCGTTTCGGTGAGATCCTGATCCCGGTGGGATCCCGATCCAGTGGGTTTCCGATCCTGGCGGGATACCGGTTACGGTGAGATCCTGTTTCGGGTGATATGCAGATCCCGGTAATTATGGGGAGCTCACACACTTGACATACGAACCCAGCTTGCAAGCCACATTGCAATTGTTACGAGCGCCTTAGGAGAAATTCCAGTTGTATTAACGTTATTTGTTGCCACACAAGGTGCGCGTATAAACCAAATGCTGCACCATTAAAAATGCCTGTTGCATCAACAATTTTAGTTATTGTTTCTTGGTCGTCCTGCAATTTTAAACAAAATGATCCTACAACCAGCAATACC